GTATTGGTTCTTGCCTGGATTTTGTTGTTTTATAGAGTGTGGTTGTAGCTCGACTATATGGCAACAGTTGCTGTCTCTTATTGTGTAATATAGGGAGAAAGAGAGTCCCCCAAAGTAGAAGGGGGAACATACAACAGCAAAACAGCACCATCAAAAAAACAAAACAAAAAAGCAACAACAGGAACAAAAAGATTAAACTAGACTAAATACTGTAGTCTATAATAGCAGAAAAGGGAAAGGAGGGAGAGAAAAAAAAAATCTGTAGCCTAATGTGAGTATGACTTTAATGTTCTCTCTTTAGTTTCTTACCTTTAAAGGTGCCTGAGAGATTTCAAGATGCCACTGTTGATTGTTACTCTGTACCTCAGGATTTAATTTAACTTTCAGCCTGTTTTGTTTTTAAACTCTTTTCCCCTTTCTATACCCCTGTGTTGGCCTTTCCCTTATTTAAAAAACAAACAGTTCAGTGCCAGCTCTTGGGCTGAAAGTATCTGTGCACATGCATGCCAGAAGAACCACCAGTTGTGAGGGTGGTGTTGTCCACTCGTTCAAGCACCCCTTCTAGTCACCAGAATGGAGGTGTGCAAACAGTGTGTGGGTGTGTGTGTCAATGAAAAGATACAAAAAAAAAAAAACAAAAACCCAAAAAACAAACAAAGTAGAACCAACAAAGTGTTTTGTTCACCTTTGCTCCAAAGTTCCTGTGGCATTTTTCCATGGTGTGTCTGCTCCCTTGCTTGGTCTTGCCATTTGGTTTTGTCCAAGTTGCTGGATTGGGGCCACTGAGCCCAGCAGATTCAAAAGTATGTGATTTCTTACGTTTGCTACAAGTTCCACCAGCTATAAGCCTTCAAACCTTTTAAATATTCTTATTTCTGTGGTTCCGAGGTTTGGATATCTGCCCTGGACCTGCTTTGCCTGGTATTCTATGGTATTGCTGATGGCAAACTTCACTGCACCTTTACTCTAGCCGCCATCAAGCCCTGTCTCCTTAAATGTTCTTTTTGATAATGAATTCAATGTCATTCCTCTGAATTTTGTCATTCCTGGCATAGTAAACTACAAGATTGTAGCATATACTCAGTGACAAAATTCAGAAGGGCTGAAAAAGAGTAAGGAATAGAAACAAAAAACAAGGGAGGAAATGGGATACGTTATGTTACATTAAGGGGCTTGCAATCATTGAAATAACAAAAAGTGTTAAAGTAAAACTGCTGATGTGCTCTGTAAACCTTCACTCAATTTACCATTTGTTGTTGTTGTTGTTGTGATGTGCCATGGAGTCAGTTCCAACTCATAGAGACCCTGTACAGGGTTTCCAAGGCTGTAACTCTTTATGGGAGCAGAAAGCCTCATCTTTCTTCTGCGGAACAGCTGGTAGTTTCGAACTGCTGACCTTACAGTTCACAACCCGATTCATAACCACTATGCTACCAGAGCTCCTTCAATTCACCATAAAAAGTCAGAAAATTTTTCAGATCTCTTGTTTTCTTAGTATTTGACAAGTCAATTTGAAAATGTATATGGCTGAGCAAATGACCAAGAATTGCCAAGACACAGTTGAACAGGAATAAGCTGAGAATCTTAATCTAGTATGTATCAAAATGCATCCCAGAGCTGTGATGAATAAGCCTATCAAAATTACTGGCATAGGAACTAACAAGTGAGCCAATGACACAGAATCAAGACTAGGAAGAAGTCAAAACATTTACTTAAGTGGCATTGCATGTGACAGTGCACTAAAAAAAAGAAAGAAAAGTTTATTCAATAATTAGTTTGGACACAGTTTTAAAAAAAGTAATTCAGACCTTGACCTTACTTTAAATATAAAATTAAAATCCAGATCAATCAAGTACTTGTATAGATACGCAAATTTTCAAATTTTTAGAAGAAAATATAGGAAAACATCCTTTTGTATTAAGGTATAAGAGGATTCCTTAAATGAGACACAATTTTCACTGGCTATTAATAATTCACTAAAAGTCTGTGGGACTGTTTTTCAGAGCCATTTTTCCAGCCTTCACGTTGGCGCCTGGCTTCCATTTTACTGATATCTTTCTGCATTGGCCTAATTGTTGCTGTCATTGGAGGGAAGAAATTATACTTCAAAAATCAGAGTAAGTAATAGAATGAAGCATGGGCCGATGGCATGTTCAGTGTTCCATTGGGGCCATGTTATTTTCCTTCCAGCAATCATTCCTGATTACTTTGTTTTATCCCATTTACAGGTACTCAGTATTAGGGAAAGGGGTTGTTATTGTTAAATGCCGTGAAGTAGGCTCTAACTCACAGTGATCCTGTTTAGGAGTGGCTGGTGGATTTGAACTGCCAACTTTGAATTTCAAACCGATCTTGCAGTCCAATGTTTATCCTCTAAAGTGCCACATCAGAACTGCAGGGCAAGGAGTTGTTGTTTGTTGTTATTAAGTGCCATAGCAACTTTGCATAGTGTTTCTGAGGAGTGGCTGGTGAGTTTGAACTGCCAACCTTGTGGTTCAAACCAACCTTTAGATCCACTGCATCATTCTGCAGCACCACATCAGGGCAAGGAGTTGATGTTGTTGTTAAGTGTTGTTGAGTCAATTCTGACCCATAGTGACCCTGTATAGGGTTTCCAAGGAGCAGCTGCTGAACTTGAACCACCGACCTTACAGTTCAAATGACTTTGCAGTCTGATGCATTAGGCCACAGCGCCACACCAAGGCAAGGGGTAGGCACATGGATATTTCTAGGAGATACCAGGCTCTTCAGACCTCACATGAGCTAGAAGCCATGGTTGTGTTTGCACTATACACATTTCTGTGGTTGACTACTGAGTCTTTTCTTTCTGTTTCAGGGAAATTCCAGAAAGAACTAGGTAAGTATTTTATCATTTTTGGAGCCTTCCCCACACAGTTCTCTTGGGTTCCTTTGTTTTTTATGGTTTGAGCTATCTGTAAGCTTTTTTTGGCTTCAGACTAGACAAAAATGAGCAGACCAAGGAGAACAGCTGTTTCATTTTCCCCATACATCAACTAATAACTTGACTGTCAGTGGTCTGTAGAATTTGGGATGAACATCAGAACCTGTACCCCTCTAAAACTGTTTGCAAATGTTCTATGTTAGTTGAATTTGTAGGGAGAAGAATTGTAGAGTTGATGAAATCTCTGAGAGTCAAAATGGTTTGCAACGTCAACTTGCTCCATACTCTTATGCTAGAGTCTTTATCCAGGCACAGAATCAGCTACTAATTCTACTTTTTGTTTCATGGAAACATCAAGAAAAGCTAGGTTATCACATGCAGAGTTTTCCTCCCACTTCTTCTCAGCCACTTGTTTTACCATTTGAACCTCTTCTGTGTTTTATTGATTTCAGAATGGAGAAAGACACAGGAACAAGAAGGTAGGAAACTTATTATTTTCCCATTTACTGTCCTTTCCATATTCTTATAAATTGGCACTCAGGCGCAAGTTTAGTGATGAACTTCAGGGTTCAAGGAACCTTAAAACTTTCTACAAGTGTTGGGTTATAGCATTTTGGTAGAGAGGTCCCATTGTCTTTATTACATTTCAAGCAGGTTTATGGAAACCCTTGATTTCTCTGTTTTCCCTGCCTTCTGCTTTTGATGCAAGCATTGACCCAACTTCCTCTGTCTGCTTTTTTTCAGAACTGAGAGAGGCCTGCACTTATTCAGGTACCAATGCCTAAGGTGTGAGGGTGGGACAGAGCTTACTAGGCATGAAAGAGGGAGCTAAACAACAACAGATATGGGTGACCCCAAGACCCACTTATTCTGAAGAGGATGAATCTGTGATGCCTTGAACCACCCCAGGGTGCAACTTCCCCCATTCCCACTTCATAGCCAAGTGTAAGGGGAATGAGGAAAGGGCTCAGTCAAACCAGGGTGGAGTTGTAGGCAAAGCTCCAGGGAATTGAGGGCACTAGTAACTGACCATAGGATGGGGCTAAGGGGTAGGGAAATGAAGTTGGGAAGGAACTAATGGAGAGGAGGAAGCTAAATACTTGAGACCCCTGAGGTTTCAGCAAACCAATAGTGGGCTTATATGCAAGGACTGTGGTTGGGTTGGGATGTGATATACAGGAATTTGTGACCTCGCACTGAGCCATCTCCAAGGAATGTTGAGACCTTTGGAATACACTGGAGATGAGGAATACACTAGAGATTAGGAGCAGTATGATGAAGCCTCTGGCCTCAGGAACTCACTTGTTGTCATTATGAGGCAGTCTGTGGCAGGAGGGAAAGATCTCTGGATCCAGGCCAGGTTCCTCCCTAGTAATTCATGTTCTTTGCCTTTTACTCTTCCCATGGTGCCCCAGTGGAGGTGACTCTGGACCCAGACACAGCTCATCCCCAGCTCCATATTTCTAATTGGACAGCTGTAACCCATAAAGATGATCCTCAGGAGGTGCCTGACTCAGAGAAGAGATTTACAGAGTGGAAGTCTGTTGTGGCTTTTCAGAGTTTCTCCTCAGGGAAACATTACTGGGAAGTTGATGTGGGACACCAGAAAGAGTGGTGTTTAGGAGTATGCCGGGATGATGTGAACAGGAAGCTTGCTGAGTCTATATCTACCAAAATTGGTTACTGGATCTTTGGACTGACCACAAACGGATATTTTACATTCAACCCCCACAAAATTGCCCTGTCCCCATGCATCAGTCCTACACGAGTGGGGATCTTCCTAGACTGTGAGGGTGGGACCATATCCTTCTTCAATATAAATGATAAGTCTCTCATTTATACCCTGACATTTCAATTTGAAAAAAAATTGCGCCCTTACATTGCATATTGGTCACATCACAGTGAAAAACCCCTAGTCATTTGTACAATGTCCTGAAGATCAATGAGTCATAGAATCCTTGTATGTACAAAAAACAGAAAGTCCTCCCCACAAAAGACCATGAACTTGCTGGACTAGAGTGATGCTCCAAGGGAATCATGACTCATATTCTTCTTTTGGCTTCTAAAGCCTTGTTCCTGGATCCAGAATTCTGCTGTAGCCAGCAGTGTATAAGAAAGGAGTGATGATGTCTTGAGGTTGGGAGAGAAGAAGGCTGAGAAGGAGATTTAGTTTCCTGAGCTCTATCCACCCTTGAGTAAGACAACCTCTTAGGTTCCTCAACTGTTAAATAAAGACAGTTATTCTCGTATCAGGGATCATGATAAAGATTAAAGAGCCAAGGAGTGTGAAACATTTTGTGAATGTTATAGTATTTTGCTAATTTCTCTATATTAAACTTTTACCCAACACAATCTCTGCTTATTTATCCATTGCTGATGGTACTACAAAGTGGGACAACCACTATGGAAAATGGCATGAAATTTCCTTAAAAAATTATAAATAAAAATACCATAGGATTCAGCAAGTTCACTCTTTTATACCCTAGATATTTAATTAAGACACATGGACAGACATATGCACACCTATGTTCATTACAGCATTGTTCACACACACACAAAAAGGAAACAATCTAAGTGCCCATCAATAAATAAATGTATAAGAAAAATGTGGTACACACACACACACACACACACACATATATATATATATAAATAATTCAAACTCACCAGCTGCTCCTTAGAAACCCTATACAGGATTGCTATGAGTCAGAACCAACTCCATGGCACTTACCAACAAAATAACAGTATATATATATATATGAATAAATAAATTCTTGGTGTAGTGCTGTATGATAAATGCAGATCCACAAAGTTGATTTGAACCACAAGGTTAATAGTTCACTCACCAGTAGCTCTTCGGAAACCCTATACTGAGTCATTATGAGTTAGAACTGACTAGACGGCACTTAACAACAACAACAATAACAACAACATATACGTATGTTGTTGTTGTTGTTAGGTGCCATCTAGTTCATACCAACTCATATTGACCCTATGCACAACAGATCAAAACACTGCCCGGTCCTGGGCCAACCTCACAATTGTTGCTATGCCTAAGGCCATTGCTGTTGCCACTGTGCTAATCCATTTCATTGGGGGACTTCCTCTTTTTCTCTGACCCTCCACGTTACCAAATATGATCTCCTTCTTCAGGGACTGGTCCCTCCTGATAATATGTCTGACGTATGAGAGACGAAGTCTGGCCATCTTGGATTCCAAGAAGCACCTTGGCTGTACTTAATCCAACACAGATTTGTTTGTACTTTTGGAAGTCCATGGTACATTCAATATTCTCCTCCAATTGTTATTGTTGTTGTTAAGTATCATTGAGTCTCTACTGATCCATAGTGACCCTGTGTAGGGTTTCCAAGGAGCAGCTAGTAAGCTAGAACCAGCAACTTTATGGTTCCAGCTAACATTGCAGTCCAGCTCATTAGCCCACAGTACTACTCCAGGATTCCAATACCACAATTTAAATGCATCAATTATTCTATGGTCTTACTATTCACAATCCAACTTTCACATGTATATGAAGTTATTGAAAATGCCATGCCTTGGGTCAAGTGCACCTTAGTCCTTAAACTGACATCTTTGCTCTTCAACACTTTAAAGATGTCTTGTGCAGCAAATTTGCCTAATACATTGCATCACTTGATTTCTTGACTACTGCTTCCATGAGAGTTGATTGTTTTATCTGAGCAAAATGAAGTTTCTGACAACTTCAATCTTTTCTCCATTTGTTTGGATGTTATTTATTGTTTCAGTGGTGAGAATTTTTATTTTCTTTATATTGAGATGCTACCCATAGCAAAGACTGTGGTTATTGATCTCCAGTAAGTATTTTAAGTTCTCTTCACTTTCAGCAAGCAAGGTTGCATCATTTGCATATCAAATGTTATTAGTCTTCATCCACTCCTGCTGCCACATTTTTCTTCATATAATCCATCTTCTCAAATTATTTACTCAGCATACAGACTGAATAAATACGGTGAAAGAATACAACTCTGGCACACACCTTTCCTAATTTTAAACCATTCAGTGCTCCCTTGTTCTGTTCAAACAACTGCCTCTTGATCTATGTACAGGTTCTTCATGAGAATAATTAAGTGTTCCATAATACTCATTCTTCATGTTGTCTACAGCTTGTCATGATCCACACAATTGAAAGCCTTTGTGTAGTCAATAAAGGAAAGGTAAACATCTTTCTGGAAGTCTCTGCTTTCAATCAAGATCCCTCTGATGTCAGCAATGATATCCCTTGTGACATGTCCTCTTCTAAATCCAACTTAAACCTCTGAAAGTTTCTTTCAATGTATGGATGCAGCTGTTTTTGTATTGTCTTTAGTAAAACATAACTCACATGGGATATCAATGATATTGTTAGATGTTTTCCGCATTCTGTTGGGTTATCTCTCTTTGGAATGGGCACAAATATGGATCTCTTCCAGTCAATTGGCATCCAAATTTCTTGGCATAGGTTAGTAAGTGTCTTCATTGCTGCATCATTTTGTTGTAAGTTTGTTCTGTTTGTTCAATTTGTATTTCAGCTATTCCAAGTGTCTTGATCTTTGTCAATGCTTTCAATGCACCTTGGACTTCTTTCTTCAAGATCATTGGCTCTTATATGTTACCTATTGAGATGATTGAACATTGACCATTTCTTTTTGGTACAGTGACTCTGTCTATTCCTACCATCTTCTTTTGATGCTTTCTGCATCATTCAATATTTTGCCCATAGAATCTTTCAATATCACAAATTGAGGCTTGAATTTTCTCATCAGTTCCCTCAGCTTGAGAAATGCTAAGCGTGTTCTTCGCTTTTGGTTTTCTATGTATATGTATTATATATACATTTTTTTCCTGATGTGGCACTGGACTACTAGCCACAAGGTCCAATCAATCCTTTCAAACTCTACACATGGTTGTTATGAGTTGGAACCAATGCA